GAGCCTCCCCCCCCCCGAGGCTGGAGGAGAGGCCTGGCTTTGCCTCTGGGTGGGGTAGTGGTGGGAATTCTTCCCAAATTATTCCTCCTTTAGCCTGATCCGTCTGGAAGGCACGGGAGGGGGGGGACTGAGGCCTCTTAGGTGCTGCTAAGGGAGGAGGGAGCCTGTTTGGGTGGCCTGAGCCTCGCCCTTAGCTGTCCTCCTTTCAGGCTCAATAAATAAAACACACCACCCCTTCTGATAAGTGCAGCCAAGCGCCTGCCTGCTGGCAACTTGGGTTTGCCAGGGGCTGGCTTCCGTGAACTTCTGTAGGCACAAGGGGGTCTTGGATGCGCTGCTGGGCTTCGTGGCTGTCTTTGCTGCAACCACTTTAATGTGTCCCCCTCCCCCAATAAGCCCAGGAGATCCCTGTTCCTCCTGCAAGGAAGAGATGAGGCACAGGCTGACGGTCAGCTCAAGGCGGGCAGGTCACCTGTCTTTCTCTCCCTGGCAGTTTTCAAAATTAAATTAGATTGCAGATTTGGCTGTGAGGAGCGAGAGCGGGCAGAGATTTGGGAGTCACTGTCCAAAAAACCAAAGCAGGTTAACTTGGAGAGAGGTTTGGGGAGCGCCCGGCCCTTGGCTCAAGTTGGGGCCGAGGGACGGGAGGGTGGCTACCCTCTTCCGTTTGGGGCAGCCCTCGGCCTCCATCGGCCAAAGCGGAGCCCTCCTCCAGAAGCCATGGCGGGCATCTTTCAGGCACCTCCCAGCCGGACATGGAGGGAAAGGTCCCACAGGGGCTGCTGTGGTGCTTTTACCGTGTTCCCAAGTGCTCCTCAAGAAATTTCCCCAAAGCCTCTCTCTCTCTCAGCTGGAAGGAAGAGGCCTTGGGGGTTCAGGGACGTGGGTGGGTGGTGGATGGGTCATATTGCACCCCAGAGCCTGCATCGCTCTTGTCATCATCCGGGCAGCTCGACTGCCCTGTTGAGCAAGTGAGGCTCAGGGCCCCGAGGCCCAGCTGGCTCTTTGAATCCCTGCTTCCAGGGTGGTATTCGTCTGGCCCCGATTGCTGCCCCCCACCCCACGGACTCTCCCTCCTCAGTTTCTCCGAAGGCCTCGGAGCCGGATACAGGATGGGGGGGGGAGAGGAATACCTTTGTGTGTGTGTGTTTTTTGGGGTGTGTGTGTGTAGTGATGCTCTTTTACCTAAAGGGACTGGAGCAGCTTCTGGACCAGGCAGAAAGAGGAGATCCCTCTCCAGTACCTAGTCAGGATCACTGCCAGACGTTTATTCGGGGGAGGGGCTTAACCTTCGTGTCTGGCAACTCGAGAGGCATCGGGTCACAATTCTGCGCCGTAAACCTAAGGAGGGTGTGCACGTGCTGTCCCCCACCACAGGTTCACTACAGGTTCTTGCACGATGGAGAGATTTGAGGCCCCAGCAAGCACCTTGTCCAGAAACTGGACTGAGCCTGCCTTGATTTTTTTTTGTTTTGTTTTTATAAACTCCCTCCTTGCCTCTGCCTCCCCCCCCGCCCCCCGCCGCCCCGGATCTCCCCCCCTCCAGTTTTTTGGACTGGGCCAAAATTGCCCTGTGAACTGTGTATGGGAGGAGAGGCCTGAGATGGTTCTTCCTGGTCTGCCCTTAAGCACCCCCAGCAAAGGGCACTTTGCACGTGCTTAGCAGCTCAGGCGCACCAAGGCAGTGGGTGAAATGCTGCCACAAGGCCCTTCCGTGGTCCATGAGCCGCTACAGCCGAACTGGAAGGTGTGCACGCCTGCTGTTGTCCCTTGTGCTGCGGTTGGGTTGAAGTGCCAGTGGCCGCTGGTCTGTTGGTGCTTGCCTCCTCTCCCCACCCTGTCCAGGGGCACAGGGACCGATGATCCTTTTTATCTGCTGCTGTGCAGGTATTTGAGAGAGGGAGGGGTCTTCTGGCCACTTGGAAGGGGCGCAGGGTTGGGCCGGCTGGCTGGCCTGAAGGCGATGAGTCAAGGCTTTGGTTCTCCAGATGGCATCTCATTCCCCCCCCTTACCCCCAATGGCTAGGACATCTCTGCCTCCGGGGAGAAAGGGTGTGGGGGGGTTGAGAAGGTGTAACAGAGCAGAGCCTCCCCCTCAGGTGACCTTTCTCCCTATCAAGGACCCCAAGGCCAGACCAGCCGGCTCCAAACAGGTTATTCCTTCAAGAACTGCCCCCCCCCCTCATTTTGCTTTCCTGTCCTTCCCCCTCCCCACCAGCTGGTCCTGAAGCTCACAGGGTAGAAGGCACCCCATTTTTAATGCCAGGTTTCCCCCAGCTGAAGAACACCTGGCCAGGGAGACCAGTAAAGGCCCCGTTTTTGGAATGTGGGTGGTGGTGGTTTTTTAAACACAGCCTCTATTGCCTCTATTTATCTCTGTAAGGGCAGCTCTGACACAGGGATGGGAGCAAGACGACCCAGCCAATTTCCTGGCCAGCATCTCCCCATCTTGGGAGGGGGGGGCCTCCTCTCTTACACCCGATCCAAAGAAGGGGCAAAGTTATCCTGACTCAACACTTTGGCAAAAGGGGGGGGGGACTTCTGAAAGGCAGACTTTTGAAACACGTTAAAAGTTGCTGCTGTTTCTCTGTACAGTATGCTTTTTAAATGGGTGCGTGTGCACCTAGAGCTGCTCCTGATCTTGATCTCAAAGGTTCACACTGAAATGTCACTTGTTGTGACCACAGTGGACTGGAGCACGCCAGGCCCTCCTGTCTTCCACTGCCTCCTGGAGTTGGGTCAACCTGGAGTTGGGTCAAAGTCATGTTGGTCGCTTCGATGACCCTGTCCAGCCATCTCATCCTTTGTCTTCCCCTTCTCCTCTTGCCCCCACACTTTCCCTACATCAGGGTCTTTTCCAAGGAGTCTTCTCATGAGATGGCCAAAGTACTGGAGCCTCAGCTTCAGGATCTGTCCTTCCAGTGAGCACTCAGGGTTGAGTTCCTTCAGAATGGATAGGTTTGTTCTCCCTGCAGTCCAGGGGACTCTCAAGAGCCTCCTCCAGCACCACAATTCAAAAGCACCAATTCTTCCGTGGTCAGCTTTCTTGATGGTCCAGCTCTCACTTCAGTACATCGCTACTGGAAAAACCATAGCTTTGCCAATGCAGAATTTTGTCGGCAAGATGATGTCTCTGCTTTTTAAGATGCTTTCTAGGTTTGTCATCTTTTTCCTCCCAA